TCGAGCTCCGATCGCCTCCTCCTCGGCCCGACTGCAACGGATCTGGCCGCGAGAGGAATTCATCCTCCGCAGCTCCAGCCTCCTCCATCGTCGGCTCTGCGAGTTCCTCTCCACGTCGTTCGTTCCTCTGAGTCGCACATCTTGGAACTTTCCGCGCAGGCGGCGGCAGACGCCCTCCACCGGCGACGCCAAGACATCCTTGCTCGGGTTATTTGAAAACATTTATGCAGCAATTAAAAAGGGGTTGAAATCTTTACTATTGTGAGGATGAATAAAAAAGTTGAATAGAAATAATGAATCAAAATAACAATAAAATTCGGGTGTTTGATTAACAGATATATATTCCTTCTTAATAGGGCACTTTGTTGTTGATAATTTGGTAAAAGCATCCCACAAAATACGCGAAATTTTTTGTTAAGAATTCAAAGAAACAATATTCCTTATATAAAGGGATTTTTTCCTTCACTATACACATTATTTAAAATATTAAATGTTCAAAAAAAAAACATTGCCATTAATAGTAACTAATTAATGTGTCTGAATTTGACTAAGATTTTGACTTGCTATTTTTAAAAAATAGTAAATCTGTTTATATATATATAGATATGTAATCGATAATTTTATTCTGGTTATGTTAGGATGTATAGTTTTTCAATTACCATTACTATTTTTATATTTTTTCCATTCATATTTTTCAATTGATTGACATGTTTTTCAAGCTACTGACCTTTGTATTTGTATCACACACTAAAATAGTTTATTAAAATGATGATTATGATCAGTTTATGATATGTGTATGACACGCTATATAATGAACAAAAATTTAAACATCACAATTGCGATTAGATAAAAATGTCATGTAAATTAAATTGCGACATATACTTATATTGACTATAAATGCAATATACTTAACCAAAATTCAAATATCACAATTGTAGTTAGATAAAAATGTTATGCAAATAAAAAATGCATCAGGTTATATACTGAACCAAAATTGATATATCACAATTATGGTTATATAAAAATGTTACGTAAATAAAAAAAGCAGCATATACTATACTGTCTATAAATGCAATATATGTTGCTCATTGGAAACACCTGAGAGTTGAAAATGTTACGTAAATGAAAAAAAGCAGCATATACTATACTGTCTATAAATGCAATATATGTTGCTCATTGGAAACACCTGAGAGTTGACTATAAACGCAACATATAGTTCACCTTAGCTGCAGTTTTTATGAAAAAAATATAAAACCAAATATATTAGCTGAGTAAATTACCATATACAACAAACATTTTTTTTTGTCATTATCTGAAATGATTATGTGGCGAAATTTAAGTAGAACCGTTTTTATTTTCAGAAGTTGACATTAGGTAGACATATAATTATAATTACGGGGCGTAATGTAAGGAGAGGTGTTTTTTATTTTTTGAAAACTAGGTAGACATATAATTGAATGACACAAATTTTGCATAGATGCAATTAAAATTGACTGAAAATGCAATATTTTACAAATCTTGTAACATAGATGTAAATTCGCCTATATTTTCTCACTGTTACAATGTAATGCATCGCATGCTTTTTACGATACACAAGTACTTATTTTATCGTTGTAAGTAACTTGTTCCACATCAAGTAATATGCGTGAAATTTAATTGCAAATGCAACTGGCCTTCTTCACAACTAGTATGGTACCCGTGCGCAGCACGGCGTGCGCAGCACGACGGGGTTATTTCCTCAAACCTTTTTTTTAACTTTATTTTAAATATTTTTTTATAAATTAATAATTTAATTACAATA